TTAGATGTTCCTAGAGATGGGGAGGTATTGAGGCACAAGAGGACGGGCGGCCAAAGTGCTGACCCTGAGCCCCGGACTGTGAAGTCCTGAAGGTGATCCTGAAGGTGACATGCTGAAGCCAGTCCTTTGTTTTACAAACTTCCCCTTCTGACTGCGTATAGGTGTGGTCTTACCTTGACTTAGTGGTCTTAGCTTTTGTGATTGTATATAGGTGTGGTCTTACCTTGACCTTGTGGTCTTAGCTTTTACAGTACTATCGTCTATCTTTCTCATGCCTGCTTGTGACTGAAATCACTCTTGAGGTGTGCCCTTGAAACTAGTATATATACACCTAGAGTTAGAAATAAAATTGCAACAGCTACTACCTTCACTACTCAGTGCTGTGTGGTTTCTGACTGTCGCCGCCGAACCTGCTCCCACCTTTCTGAAGATCCCTGTTCTCCTCGTGAAATCCAGTCTTTGCTCCCCTACGGTCGGTAGCAGTCAGTGTTCGACTACTTTGAGATGAACCAATGTTGACTACTAGTTAACTGTAACACCTTTCAGTAGGTGGTTCACGTAGTTATTCATGCTGATTTGTAGCCAAAGAATGGCACAAAGAATGACCCAGTCAAAAAGTACTGGGTTTAGGTTTGACAGAAACCATAACGCTTTCAGCTACATTGGGCAAACTATTTAATCTTCCAAAAGTCTATTCCTGTTATAAAAGTCTGTGATTCTAACAATGATTAGTTAAATGGAAATTTTATATAAAAGCTATTTTGGACACCCTCTCTGAATCCTTCACCTAGATAAAAATAACCACTCCCTTCTTTCTCCCCTACTACACCTCATACATATTTCTTATCATAACACCCATGGACACATTCGTTTATCCACTTTTTCATCCTATAAAATACTGAGCACAGGGATTGCAGCTTATTTATTATAGTGATACCTGGGCACAACACTGGCACAAAGTATGTACTGAATAGGTAGGAAAGGAAGGATACACTTGGGGAAGAGGTACAGGGAAAGGGAGAGACAGGCCATAGAAGGAAGTGTGGGGAAGAGGAAGAGAAGGAAAAGAGAGAATGAGAGAAGTTCTAACGTGTGGTAGCCTTCAGGTGAGCTATGAAAAGGAAATAAATGACTGTCATCTTTGAATGTTTCCCTAACCTCGGTCAAAAGCAGTTCCAACCCGGGATTTAGCTCAAAGGCACCACGCCTGCCTCATAAACACAAGGTCCTGAGTTCGATCCCCGGTACAAAAAAAAAGCCAGTTCCACAATTTCTCAGGTCTGCTATATGTTAGTTTAGACAATAGTAACTGACCACCTCATCATTAAACAAGATTACAGTTGTTAAGACTCTATTTTAAGAATCAAAACATCTTTGTATGATTACCTTTAGTTTCAAACAATATTCCAGTAAGCAATTTGAAGAGGGAACATAATTCTTTTAAGAGACTGAATAGTTCTTAAGCCTTTACTTTGTAAATAAAATATCCTCAATATTAGGAAAATAAAAGAGTTACTGTGTAATTATATTCTGTCAAAATTAAATCTCCTTGACTTCAATAAGTGTTTTAAGGTTATATTAAAAAATGGGTTTCCTCTTAGGAAATACACACTGAAGGAGCCATGGGTAAAGAAGCAAATAAATATTCTCAAATGATTAATAAAAGTGAGTAAGTAATATCTGTATGAGTATGTAACATAGGGGGAGAGAGACAGAGAGGGAAAACAGGGCTGGGGATGTAGCACAGTGGTGCATTTACCTAGTGGGCACAAGGCCTCAGGTTCAATCTCTAGCACCACCAATGAGAGAGAGAGAAAGATGGAGAAAAATACTAAAAATATACATTATTCTTATAACTTGTCCGTAGGTCTGAAATTATATTAAAATAAATATTACATGCTGGGCACGGTGGTATATGTTTCTAATCTTAACACTTGGGAGGCTGAGGCAGGAGGATTGCCACAGGTTTATGGGCAGCCTAACAGTGACTTCAAGACCAGTCCGAACTATATAGCAAGACCCTGCTTCAAAAAAAAAGTTTATGAAGATATTTCTCTTTCTATCATATGTGGATAGAAAGAGAAATAGTTATTATGACACCCATATAACCGGATACTCACATGGAATTGAACATTCCCATCAGGGCAGTGAAACAAAAGCCAATGGCAAACATGGATTTCATCCGAACCTATAAGGAAACCAACAGACTGTCATTTCACATGAAAGCAAAACGCCTCTAGAGCATCCCACAGAAGTTTTAGTTTAATGTCATTTGTTAAAAGAGCTCTCCATGAGTGCTGGGGATTTTGTTAGCTGACCCACCTTCTACCTCCAACTCCTCTTCAGGCCACGCTGTGATGTACTGAGGTAGCAGCGTGGCCCAGATCTGACCAATGAGCAATAAGTACAAGTAACCAATGGGAACCTCAAGTCTCCACGGCAAGGGCTCTCCCACTGAGCTACATCCCCAGCCCTGATGGAGGGAGAAGGGGAGGGGAGGAGGATTGAAAAAAAGGAGTTAAGATGTGTTCTGTACATGTACTAACTCCCCATGATGAATGTGGTCATTATACCTGCAAACACGTACTAATACAAACAAACAATGAAATAAATAAAAATAAAAAGGACAGATTTGCCTAGCATCCCCTTAGACCTTTTGCCCATTCTTCTTGCCTTGAAAGAAAACACACTGCCTAGGCCAGGGATTTAGCTCAGTGGTTCCGCCACCTGCAAGCGCAAGGTCTTGAGTTGGATCCCCAGTACCAAAAAACAGAAAAACAAACAAGAAAACATAGTGCCCAAGGGTTAAGCAGCCAGCAAACAACCAAGTGGCCTTGAGCTGAGGCCCTGAGTCTCCAAGGGCAGAGCTGAGTTGCTTACACTAGCCCCACTCTCCCAACAGCTAGACTTCCTGAGCAACAAAAAGAAACCATTTTCTGTTTTAGCCTGCTGCTTGTTAGGTCTTCAGTTATTTGCAACTAAATTCCTTCTTAATTACACATTCTTTAACACATACAAAACATTATAAAGATGTCAGATTAACATTATCTCTGGGTCATTGGTATCTCTTAGTTTCCAAATATGCTATGGAGAACATATAATAATTGTTGTCAATAGGTAGGAAAAGCTACTTTTAAAAATATTCATTTCTAATGCTAGGCATGGTGGTGCATTCCTGTAATTCTAGCATTTCGGAGACTAAGGCAGGAGGATCGCCTCAGGTTCAAGGCCAGTCTAGGCCATATAATGAGTTCAAGACCAGCCTGAACCATATAGTGAGACCCTGCCTCAAAAACCTAAAACAAAACAAAACAAAAATAACAATAAAATATTCACTTCTTTTATTCATCACACACTAACCTAAAATCAAAATGGATCAAAGAACTAAGTATTAAAACAGAAACCCTAAATCTGTTGGAAGAGAATAGGTAGAACACTTGATGACGCAGCAGTAGGTAAGGACTTCAAGAACAAAACCCAGAGTGCATGGGAAATATAAGAATCAACAACTGGGATCTCATTTTACTAAAAAGCCTTTGCACAGCAAGAGAAACCACCAACAGAGTAAAAAGACAACCCACAGAGTGGGAAAAAATTTTTACCAGCTATTCAGATAAAGGATTATTATCTGGAATATATGAAGAACTCAAAAAAAAAATCAGACTGTACCCCCAAATTTAAAGACCCAATACAAAAATGGGCATCTGAAATAAAAATATACTTCTCAGATGAATTAGTATAGGTGAAAAACTATTCAACATCACTGGTCATCCTAGAGATGCAAATAAAAATGCTGAGATTCCACCTCACCCCAGAAAGAATGGCTGCTACCAAGAAATCAACCAGTAACAAATGCTGGTAGGGCTATGGGGAAAAAGGCACCCTTCTCCACTGCTAGTGGGGGCACAGACTGGGGCAACTACTATGGAAATCAGAGAAGAGATTAAGCTCCTCTAAAACTAGATGTTCTATTTGATCCAGCTAAACTTCTTGGTATCTTCCTAAAAGAAGTAAAAGCATCATACCACAGCGATATATGCATACCCATGAGAAGATGTGGGTTTTTTTATACAACAGAGTATTACTCTGCCATAAAGGATGAGCTTCACATATTTATAGCTAAATGGATGGACCTTAAGACCATACTCTTAAGTGAAACAAATCGGACACACGTATTTAAGTACCACATTGTTTCTCTGGTGTGAGAAACCAAACGTGGAAATAAGGACTGAAATGTATAATGGATATTGGGAAATGGGAAGAAAGTGTTCAAGTGGAAAGGGGAACAAGGGAGGAGGGAGGGAGGAAGGAAGGAAGGGACACGGATAAATAGAAGGAAAGAATAAAAACAAAGCTTTTGGACATAGGGACGGGAGAAGGGTGGGAGAGGGATAAAATAAAATTTATTTTTTAAAAATCCACTTCTAAATTATAATCTCTTTTGAAAAGACTTTCCAGAAGAAGATAAAGAAATTTAGCAAAGGTCACTCAGCAAGTGAAAGCAAACAGTTACACAGTTCCTGGGTCCTGTGTTACATAAACAGAAGTTAAGTAGAAAAGTGAGCCAAGCTGGATTTAATCAGCCTTCCTGTGCCCTAAGGAAACATACCCAAACAGTCTTTTCCTTATAAATGAGCAAATGGGTAATGAAATTACTTTTCCTTACACTTCATGTTATGTCTGGTGCAAAGAACAAAAGGATTCTTCAAGAGTAAAATAATAAAAGCCATCTGTAGTGTCCCAACAATATTGGAATTATACAAATCACCATAAACCAAAGATTTAGGATTAACACAAAGAAAAAGAAAATAAGCACCAGGGATTTAGCTCAGTGGTTCCTCCACCTGCCTCTCAAGAGCAAGGTACTGAGTTCAATCCCCAGTACCAAAAAAAAAAAAAAAAAAAAAAAAAAAAAAAAAAAAAAAAAAAAAAAAAAAAAAAAAAAAAAAAAAAAAAAAAAAAAGAAAAGAAACTACTTCATTAAAAAACATAAAAAGGAAACTACATAAAAAATGTGTGAAAGGGACAAATCATAACCTTTGCAACAGCTTCTAAAAGCTACCCTATATCATTAAAATGAAGTTTAAGAGCAATAATGAGTTTTCACTTCCATTTGGCCCATGAATATCTATGGTTATTCTTTATAGTCCTCATAGGTCATAAACTTCTGAAAAGGTAAGTACAACGTGCTTGATGCAAATTAGTTACTTGCTAAAAACATTATGTGGTTTACCATGAAGTTATATTTAGGACTCTTACCATAGAAAGATCTCTGTTATTATTCTTCAGTTTCTCTTCTTGCCTCTCTGTAAAGAATTAATGAAACAGTTAATGCAAACAGTACTGTACTCAAAGCAGATCTTCAATAAATTCTCACGGAGTTGTAATTATAAAATCATCTTGTCTCAGTATCACTTAATAAGATAAAGTAAATGTCTGGATTACTGTATACTTTGTACTAAGAGAAATTACATTTCTAGGAAAGCTACATTTATAAGAAAATAAGTACAAACAACTTACTCCAAAACTATGTTAAATTGTTTCTTAGCAGGAAGTGAACATTTGAGTAGATGAGTCATCTAATTATGAGAGCAGTCTGGGCTGAGATAGTGCAATAGAACCTAGTGATTCTACTCCTTGAAATGTACAACTTCTAATGTAAAAAGCAGTTTGGAGTATACTGAAATAAGTGAAAGCGATTGAGTTGCTACAGCTGTCTTAACTTAGCTCTTAATTGATACTGGTTAACTCACACAAATTCTCTCCAAATCTGTGACCTGGTCTCAGTAAGGATGGCGTCTGTCTCAGTCATGTATTACTTCCAGGTTAGTGGTGCGGTGCTTAGAGAAACACAGCTGCAGGGGCCCCTCCCCAGGGCAGAAAGATTGCTCAGTACCCAGAGCCCAAGAGTTCCAAGAGGCTCGTGCTTCCCAGCTTCCTTCAGCTATTAGGCTGAAACAAGGAAGGGAAAATAGGCATGCAAAACTTCCTATGCCTCCTTCAAAGATCTATACTTTAAAATGCTGGAAATAAATAGTATATATTATTCTGTGTTCATCTGTCCCATATAGTATTCTTATCTCTGTATGACCCAAAACCTCAGTATTTAATATAGGGGAAAATAATTCCCCAAACGGAAAATTATTCCTTTTGGAAGGAATTTCATGCACCTTCTTAGTACAGAAGTTTTGGAGTATAAGCTCTATGAGATGTGAGGAAATTTCATGGATTAAAGACTCTGAAAATATGCAGAAGCTATATTTATTTTCTAGAATGACTTCTCCATAATGATAAAAAGGAAAGACTTAAATTCTAAAAGTGAATATTTAAAATAAATAAATATATGTAAGTGAATATTTCCACAAGAAAGAGGCTACATTTCTTGCATCTACTGGAATAAACTAGTAGTAATAGCGACATCCATTCTAACTACAAAATGAACATGGCAGACCTTATACCAATCCAAATAGCATACACAGACAAAAGTCTAGAATGAATAAATAGTCAAGCCTCAAAACATGTTAAATATTGCTGGCTGTGTTGGGTGGTAACTGCTTGTAATCTCAGCTATGAAGGATACTATGGCAGGAGTATTGCAAGTTTTAAGGCCAGCCTGGGCACCTGAGATCCTGTATCTAAACCAAAAAAAAATTTTAAAGGGCTGGGGAAGTAGTCAGTGGCAGAGTGCTTGCCTAGCGTGAGGGAGACCTTGGGTTCAATTCCTAGTAGGGCAAAATGGTGGGGGGGGAATAAACCTTCCCATACACCTTCCATGTCACTAAGACAACAATGACCATGGCCATCACAGTCAAGCTTCAGGATGCCTGCCCTTCCTTCTGCAGCTACCTTCTGAAAACAGCTACCTCTCACCATGGTCCCTACTGAGAGGTCAGCCTCATGAATATTCATAACCCACGATAGTCAATTGTAGGTATTACTGTAACGAGGTTAAGGGATACCAGAGAGTTGGTGAAGTACTATATTCTGAGTATTTTTGGAGGAGACTGGCAAATGAATCTGTGAACTAAGGAAGACCCACCTTCACCCAAGCCAAGTGGACAATACCCACATTCTCTGAGGACCTGGACAGAACAAAAAACAGAGGAGAAAAAAATTCTCTTGCTGTCTGCCTCTCCCCCTTCTCTCTCCCTCTTCCTACCCCTCCTCCTCACCCACTCCCCACCTGGGACATCCCTCTTTTCCTGTCCCTGAACATCAGAATCCCGGGCCCTTGCCCTTGGACTCCAGGACTTGTGTCAGTGGCCCCTGGTTTCTCAGGCCTTTGGCCTCAGTCTTGGACTCAGTCTTGGACTGAGTCATACCACCAGCTTCTGCAGTTCTCCAGCTTGTAGATGCCCTTCTCTGGGACCTACCAGGATCTACAGCCATGCTACCCTATTCTTCGGCTAATTCCCCTCTCAAATATCTGTATATACTCTATTGGTTGTGTCTTTCTGGAGAGCCCTAAGACACACCAACTCACCACTACAGACCCAAGAGGCAGGACATAACCTAGGACATGAAATGATGGGTTGAACCAAGTGAATTCCTTTTCTCTGGAATTTAAAGGAGAAAAATCTTGAGAGAAAATACTGTGAGAGCAGAAATAAGTGCTGGCTCTCAAGCTTTCACTTGCCTAAGAATTATCTGAGCAGCTTATTAAAAAAGCAGACTCCTGGGTCTCATGTTCAGAGTCTGTTTTGGTAAAGTCTGGCCTAAGATTTGGAAGCTCAACCAGTAGCACCCCAGGAAAAACTAATATAGGTTTTCTATAGATCACACTCTGAGAAGTACTGAGACAGAAAGAACCCCTGGACACAAACTAAAGTTAGGCATAGAAAAAGTGAGGAAGTTCAACAAGAGACAAGAAAGAAGCATTCTATTAATAGCAAAGCCTTGAAGTGCAGATGCCACCATCTGGCTTCTCTTCAGGACTTGCTCTACCAGAGTTCTTACCTTCCCATAGCCAGTTAGTACAGCTGTTCTTGTTTCTGACCACATATACCCTTGAAAGAAAATCCCTCAAAACTTGAGGTAACTTAAATGTATTCAAAAGCTAAATAAAGTTCATAAATCAAAAGTAAATTAACTTTTCATCTATGAGAAGCAAATGGAAAATGGTCAAAACATTTTCCCCTGAAACTAAAATTGAGAACCAGAAGATTGTTAATTAAAATGCAAAAGACACCTCCGTTTCCATTAATGGCTCTGTGAAGGATTCTTATCACAGAGCTTCACTTACAGAAATCAGCAATACTCGGCTTCTCTGAAACACAATTACTGCTGTGCCCTTTGATCTTTCTGAGCACCCTGCCTTTCACCGCATCACTTTTATAGCCCTCCTCCCCCCAAATGCTACCACGCTATATACATATGTGCACTGTGTCTCTGTAAATCAGTCCACATAAGGAAGCTGAGCAAAGAAATGAAGGGCTGGACAATATCAAAAGCATGGATGGGAGTAATACATAGAAATACATGAGCTGGTACTATGAAGTTGCTGGAGATGAACGGCAAATCTAACTCCAGGCTTCTTCGCAGCCAACTCAAAGGAAAAAAATCAGTTCATACACTGTGCGCATAAGATAAAAATAAATCAATTTTTTATGTTGCTGCTTTCCCTGACACGAAAAAGTAATAGAAATAGTTTCCCAACAAGACATTGTGCGATGTTGCAGATAAATGTTCTCAAAAATATCTCACTGCAGTAATACAACCAAATAGAGGAGAAGTAATTTTATGAATTCCAAAATAATGCAGTTTAGGCTTTTAAACTTCTAACACTGTGGCTTAATCTAAGAGTATTATAAATCCGGAGAAGGGATAGGTCTTTCAAACAACTTTTTATAAGTACTATGTCATATTTGATAAGGTTTTGATAGGAATGAGGTATAAATATTATTACTTTCACTTCTGATTATTTTTTGGTGAGCAGACAATTCAAGGCTACATTCCATGTTAAAATAAACTGAGTTCAGCCAGGGGTGCAGTTCAGTGGCACAGAGCCTGCCTGGTGAGTGTGAGGTCCTGAGTTCCATCCCCAGTACAAAAAAAAAAAAAAAGATAATCTGAGTTTAGATACTTTATGCTGTCAGTAAAAGTGCAGAGGGTAATTTATCTGTCCTATCTTTTTCAATGTCTTCCCACTGCGCACCATTACCTCAATCTGTACAATCCAGCTTCTGTCCCCTCTCAAGCCACTAAACTGCTCTTTCCAAAATCACTAATAACCTGTTTTTCAGACCTGTTTGGACCCTTCCTGCCTCCAAAGATCTCTCAACTTTTATGATACAACTTTATTCCAACTTGTTGAGCAATAACTTTTCTGAGCTCAACTTCTCTATTGCCCCTTAAATTTCAGTTTCCTCCACACCCTCCCGCCCTCAGGCCTCTGCTCCCTGTGCCCGATGTGGTATGTGTAATTTCATTTCTAAGTGGACTCAGTTACTACGTAAAACATCCACTTGTAGCCCTTTTCTCTCTACCAGTTCTCAAACTGTACAGACAACTGTGGACAAACATTTCCACGCTGCAGTCACTTAGGCACCTCAAATCCAGTATGTTCGAACCTGAAATCACCTGTTCTTCCAAATCCCAATCCACAACTCTTCCAGTATGTCCTTATCACAAATCTGGACATTTTTCCAGACTTGTCCTACTCTCCACATTCATCCTCCAAACACTCCCGCGGTTCTGTTACTTCCTCTTCCCCTATGTTTGTTGAATTTATACTATCTTCTCCATTCCCACAGCCAAGTCTCAGGTTCTTAGCATTTTTTGCCTGGATACTTAAAAAAACTCATGACCTCTCTACCTCCAAAGTGGTCCCTTCTCCAATTTAGCCTCTAAACTATTACCAGAGTTAAACAAAATATGATGCTAAAACTCAATGCCCCAAAGTCCCTTCGTTATTGCCTGAGGCTTTCTAGATACACATTAAATTGCTTTTATCGGTTTAATTTGTAAAAATCTTTATGGGACTGGGCCCTATTAAACTTTAGTCTCATAGGTGTGTACTTTACATATATCTTTTATGTGTTATACTAAACAATTCAGAGTTCTAACCATATGCTTTATTATTTTATCCACCCGGGCTTTTGCCTATGTCTATCCTTCTGCCTAAAATGTATAGGGCTTTAAAACATGGGAGCCCAAGGACCCAAGTTTGATACCAAGTACCAAAAATAATAATGATAATAAAATAAAACAAAATAAAATGTGGGTCCTGAAGCTGGGCACAGTGGCACGCTCCTTTAATCCCAACACTGAGGAGGCTGAAGCAGGAATTCGAGGCCAGCCTGAGCCATACAGTAAGTTCAAGGCCAGCCTATAATAACTAGCAAGTCTCTGTCTCAAAGAAAAAAATAAACAAAAAACAAAAAACTGTGGATTCTAAAGTTACAAATCACCAGGTTTAAACCTTTTCTAACAGTTATTTAATCGCATTAAACTAATGAAGAACCTATTCTAAGTTAGTTAACTTAAGCCTCAATTCTCTCATGTATAAAAATGATATAACACTGTTTCCTGCCACATATGGCTGCTGCAAAAATTCAGACTATAAAGGGCTTACCACACTACGTTGCAGATGTAAGTACTCAATAAATGGTGACCAGTATTTTATTTGCTCATATGTATTTAGCCAACTCACACTAAAACCTCAAGATTTGGCTAAAGCATTACTTTTTTTTTTTGGTACTGGGGACCAAACTCAGGTCCTCATGTTTGTGAGGCAGGCGCTGGAACCACTGAGCTAAATCCTTGGCCCTAAAACATGATATTTTTAAACATAATCCGACCCTCTCAGTTGATTTGGATATCTTTTTTTAATTTTATTATGTTTAAAAGATATATCTCAGGCTGAGGATGTAGCTCAATGACAGAATACTTGCCTAGCATGCATGAGGCCCTGGGTTTGATCCCTAACACCACCAAAATAGTTTTTTTAAAAACTCAACACAAATAAATAAACACACACACACACACAGAAAGGTACAGTGAATGTTTAAAATTTTTTAAATAAAATTCATTAAAATAAAAGACCCATTGCCATCAGTCCCTTTAAAAGTATCTCCCTCAACCACGAACAACCTTATCCCATCATCCTTGCCACTTTCTGGAGCTGTTCTGAAAGTCCTCCTTCGTGAATGTGTTCACAAGGTGTGATTAAAAATATGGTCAAAAGGGCTGGGGATTTAGCTCCGTGGTTCCAGCGCCTACCGTGCAAGCACAAGGACCCAAGTTTGATCCCCAGTACCAAAAGAAAAACAGAAAAAAAATAGTATAGATAGATACATAGATAGACAGTCAATGGAACCGGGTGTTGTGATGCACACCTGTAATCCCAGCACTCAGGAGCTGAGGCAGGAGAACAGCCTCAAGTTCAAGGCCAGCCTGGGCTACAGAGTGAATTCAAAGCCAGCCTGGACACATAGTTAGACTCCATCTCAAAAAACCAAACCAAAATAATAAAAAATATGCTGAGTGCTGCTGTCAAGTGCCATCCAATGTAGAGGCATTATGATGTATTCTCATCCACCTTATTCACTGGTTTTAGCACTGTGCAACTTCTGGTTCTTCCTCAAAGTCAAAATAACTATGAAAAGTAAACGTTTTGAATTGATTTAGGACACTGAGGCAGCCACAGCTAAACAACTCATGAAAAGGTACTTCCAGAACTGCTTTAGAAAGTATCAAAAACAAGGGGATGTATACGTGTGAAGTGAGGGAGTATCTCAATGGGGATTAACGACACTGTATCTTTTACTGTAATAATTTTTTCTGTACTCAACATTCTCCACATTCTTTATTCACACCTCATATATTACACACACATCAACATACACATATATAGCACACTGTATCATTGTCATTCATTTTCTGGTTTGTTTTCCTTCTCTAGACAGAGTGTACAAAAACAATCTTTTTTTACTTTGTCTCTGTAGCACCTAACAGTAAGTGGCACAGAGAAGATATACAATAAATAGCATCTTGCCATTACTGAAGAGCCCTGCAGGTAGGTTCCAGTCTTGGCCCAGTATATGATGCAGGTCTGAGAAAGATGAGAAAGACTCAAAGACAGAACTAGGAGAGAAAGTGGGGTGCCAGGACGACCAATACCAGTGCAGCCGACAAAGGTATTGGCCAGCCCAAGCCACTCATTTTTATTAGTAATCAATTGGGGTAAAGGTAAGCTACGTGCCAGGGCAGCACTGTGAGAGAAAATGCACAGTCATGCAATTTCTATGGAAGTTAATGTAAGCGAGGCTTGTGAAGGGCAAGACAAAGCATTCTCAAATTAGGAACAGAACAGACAAAATATGGTTGTAATTAGAACATTGTCCTTCTAGCTGAGATGGTTTTAGTTGTGGAAATGGAATTTGGGTGTGAGTTACTCTGACCCTGGCATGTAGGCTTCAGCCAGACTCACTTCTGTAAGTGTGGCATTAACTCTATAGCCTGCTTTGGGGCATAATCCATGCTTCAGTCTCTTGCAGCCATGGCACTAAATGAAGAGGCCATTTTATCTATCTATCTATCTATCCATCTATCTATCTATTTTATTTTTTGGTACTGGGGATCAAACTCAGGTGCGAGGCAGGCAGCAGAACCACTGAGCTAAATCCCCGGCCCCATTTTATTTATTTTATCTTATTTTTTGTTTTGTGTTTTGAGATAAGGTCTCACTATATAGTGCAGGCTGGTCTCAAATTTGTAGCACTTCTCCCACCTCAGCCTCCCAAGTACTGGAATTACATGCATACACCACCACGCCCACACATTAGGCCATTTAAAATGTCACAACCACCAGGCATGGTGGTGCATGCTTGTAATCCCAGAAATCTAGGAAGCTGAGTCAGGAGGATAACAAATTTGAGCTCGGATTGAGCAAACTGGCAACTTGGAGAGGGCTTGTCTCAAAAAAAAAAAAAAAAAAAAAAAAAAAAAGGAAGGAGGGACGGAAAGGAGGTAGGGGTTGGGATGTAGCTCACTGAGAAGGCCCTGGGTACCCAGTACCAAAAATTTTACATAAATTTTTAAATTTTTTTTTAAAGTTAAAACTGAAAAAAAAAAAGGAACAACTTAAGACTGAATTGAAAGCTTTGCTCAGAACAGGATATTGTCACAGTCCAGCCAAGATGAATTCTCATCTGGGCTTTAACAGCAGTGATCTAGATATGGAGGCATAGTTTCTGAACCAAATACACAATTTCACAACAATATTTTCCTGACTTTGGAATTAAGGACCATCATAAAGCACAAACATAAATTATATATAATCATATAAATTGTGAGAAACCAAAATCATAGGGTCATTATATCTCACAGTAGATAAAATTACTCAGCAGAAAATTGCCCTCCTTGGTGGACCTCCATCATTACTCAAGTCTCAGTAAGGAATCCAAGGCTACAATGAACACAAGTAATTCAGACAATGGGAAATACTCATCTCAGATGTAAAAAACAATATGATTTTACAAACTGTGCCACGAACCATCAGCCAAGTTCAATGCCACAACTCTCATTTACTAAAACTCAAATTTCAAGGTGAACAGTGAAAACATAACAAGCACTTGAATTTGTTCAAACTCAAAAAAGACTGAGAATTGAGTAAGATAAGTAGACCAGTGTCTCATAAAACTATACAAGGATGAGTTATCATTAACAACTTCTTTAGGTTAAGATCTCACCTATTTTCTTTTTTTGCTGCCGACCAGCTGACTCCGTTATTGTTTCCTTCTTCTTTTCCACTGTAAAAACACAGTAACACAGCATTACACTGAAGCAAAGGATGCTCTGTCACAGCTGGACTGATGAAAGCTTACAAGAAAGTTAGACAGGGGCTGACAATGTAACCCAGCAGGACAGCACTTGCTTGGTTAGCATGAAGCCTTGGGTTCAATCCAGAACCACAAAAAAGAGGAAGAAAGTATTGTAAGGTTACACTGACTTCTTTATGGCCATGATTAAGTTAATTGGCCTGATCCTAAAACTACTAGCAGTAAAAGGTAGAGTAGACACACATTGTAAGAATAAAACCGTAGCAATTGGCTGGGATTATAGCTCAGCGGTAGGATGCTTGTCTAGCATGCCAAGACCCTGGGTTTGGTCCCTAGAAATGCAAAATAATAATAATAATAATAACAGCAATAGTAATTGTAATGTAAGTATTATGAGATAAATACTTAGAAAGTATTGTTTTAAGTCAATACTTAAGCAAAACGGAGATGATTTTTCAGACCATGAGCTGAAGAGGATTACCTGGGTCACCAGACAGTATTCAAATTGTTTCCTCAGATAATTATGGTAAATTGTAGATTAATTTCAGTTCTATTTTCATCTTTATTACAGAAGGTAGGAAATCATTTATTCACTTATTGGCTGCCTAAGTAACAGGCACTATTCCAGAAAGAGAGAAAAATATAATTCTTGCCTTCTAAAGAACAATCTCGCAAGAGCAAACAATCAAATGACAATTAGACAAAAGTATCCGCATGGACATACACACAGGGTAGGAAAATCAGGAGAGCCAAACAAAGATCAGTGTTTTGGATGCATTTCAATTAACATGACAGAGATAACAGTAAGCTTTTGAAAAGGAATAGTGTAATGTATTTATATTTGTCAAAAATATAAACATATAAATGTCAAAATTACCTGTACTTATTTATATCATCTGTTTCCCATATTACCTTAATATACTAATAGCAAGCAGTACTATACATGTATTACTTTAAAGTTGCATTAAAAGGGCCGGAGATTTAGCTCTGTGGCACCACGCCTGCCTTGTAAGCACAAGATCCTGAATTTGGTCCCAGTACCAAAAAAAAAAAAAAAAAAGTTGCATTAAAGAGAATTAGCAAGTAGGACTCTTTCTCTTAATACATTAAATTTATTGCTTAAATTCTTAAAGCAAAACCGGCATTACTGCGTTATCAAAGAGATATATAATTCAATTTGACTCCACTCTTGCAAATGAAATATAAAGTGCTGACCAAAATAAAATGTGTATATTGGATGCCTAAGAAACAAGTACTCTCCCAGGGAGATAAAAAAGAAAAAAAGTTACTGGGTGTGGTGACGTACACCTGTACTCCCAGTACCCCAAGAGGTAGGAAGACTGTCACAAGTCCAAGGCCAGCCTGAACTAGAATGACACCCTGTCTAAAAAAATTAAAAAAAAAAAAAAGGAAAAAATTCTATAAACATTATAAAAACATTTATATATTTAATAAAGACAGAATGCTTGATTTAGAATGAAACACTAATGTGAAATTATAAAATGAAATTAACTAAAATGCTATATCACAGAATGATAAAAATAGTATCTTGAACAAAAAAATATTGAATATTTATTCTTATGAGATATCATCACTGGGGCATGAGCAAATGAGGGATATGATAAGATAGGCTTTTGAAAGGACCACTTGAGCTATTATATTGAAAAACGTCTACAGAGAGACAGGAATACCTATTGGTGCTTATAATACACATGAAAGATCAGAGTGCTGAGTATGGTTACACCTACCAGTAATCCCAGCACAATGGGAGGCTGAAGCAGGAGGATTGCTAGGTCAAGTCTCTAGTGACTTAGCACCCTGTTTCAAAAATTTAAGATGAGATGAGCTCATCTGAGATGTAGCTCAGTGTGAAGGCCCTGGGTTCAATCCCCAGTGCCACAAAAATAAATATTTTTTTTTTAATCAAGGTCCTTGAATCATGTTGGTAAACAGTGGAGGTAGTAAAAGGAGGTCACATTCTGGATATTAAGACAGCCCTATGGTATTTGCCAATGACTGGATGTGCATTTTGAAAGAAGTCAACATGAGTGCACAAGTATTATAGACTAAGCAACTCAAAAGACAGAAGTGCGGGTGACCTGACCAAGGTCAAGAAGACCACAAATGAAGCAGGCCTGAAAGTGAAAAACAAGTATTTAACTCTGGAAATATTGGGTTTGAGATGTTTATTAGATCATGGTAGGCTGACAGATTGCTATTGGAATAATGAATTTTATATTAAAGAGAAAAGCCTAGAGACATAAATACGGAGGTCACTGGCAAATGAGTTCATCAAGGGAATGAATATAAAGAAAAATACTTGGGCCTAGGTGGTATCTCAGTGTTATGGTGCTTGCCTCGCATGCATGAGGCATGAGGTTCAATCCTACACAACACAGAGGAGGGCAAAAAAGCTAAGCTAAATTTTGTATCACTCCCTAATAATCAACAACAGGAGGTCAAGAAATTACAAAACAGCCAATAAGATGAGAACAAAATCAAGACAATATGATGCCTGGAAGCCAAATTTTTAAAAAGCATATCATGTTTTTTGGCTTGCATTACTAGAAGCACAGAGGGTACAGGTCACCAGGATAAGGAAATTCTGAATGAGGATCATGTTTGTGAAGATAAAGATAATGAGTTTGGTTTTAAATATGGTGAGGTGTATTACCAACACTGAATAAAGAATGGTAAACTGTAATTTTAAAAGCCTGGGTTGGTCTCTAATTCTTTGTTTTCTCTGTGATGTAGTGTATCATTAACTTGCTGAGTCTCAATCTCTGTTCCTATAATGTGGAGGTAACGTTTATACAAGTAGCCACAAATGGTTACTATGTGGATCAAATGAGTTTTGTCTTTGTTTTGGTTTTCAGGCTAAGGATCAGACCTAGCCTTGGGCATGGTAGGCAATCACTGAACTACATCCTCAAACCATCAAATGAAATAATTTAAGATAAAAAAATTTTCCCAACCACAATGAGAACACAAGGAAAAGACACAGAATAGAGAAAGTTTCCTGGGAATTGTGGCACATGCCTGTAATCCAGAACTTCAGAGTTTGAGGCAGGAAGATGGCTATGGGTTCAAGGCCAACATGGGCTACCTAGTGAGTTCAAAACCAGCCTGAACTATATGAGGCCTTGTCAAAAAGAAAGAAAAGAAACAGAAGCAAAAGTTATATTTAATCCAATGAAGAAAAAATACTGGAAAAAATATATACATTGAAAACCAAACTGTGCATAAAAGGAACCATTCATGATATACTGTCAGCTGTGTCCTTTGAATTCCTACTTTATTTCAAGATAATAAATTTTATTTGTTCCTAATCTTTTCCTCAAGCACTTTTTCATTGTTCCAATATCCTTAATTAAAACCTGACTTATCCCTGAAGACACTACTTACCTTGACTGTATTCATAACTTATTCTCCACACATCTTACCATGTTTTTGCTCAAATGCTATTTCCTTCATCTAGAACTTTCTATCCCCCTCCCACCTAATTCTCTATCAAAATTCTAACGACCCACAAAGGATGACAAGGCCATCTGAATCATGAAGGCTTCCACAGTCCATCACAAGACAAAAAGACCTCTTCTTTAGAACTACCACAGCACATAGTATGCACCCACCATGTCCTACTTTGCCCTTTAATTTTGTTATATGTTATATAAAAATCTATTTTAGATCGATATCAAGTTGGATCATCTTTTATTCCTACCAAGTTTTTGTGTCCATTTGTTCTCCTAAAATATTTCCCTTCAGCTGGGCATGATGGCACATGTCTGTACACTTAATCTAGCTACTTGGGAGGCTCAGGCAGGAGGATGCAAGTTCAAGGCCAGTCGAGCAATTTATCAAAATAAAGATGGGGATGTAGGACTGCACTCCCTGGGTTCAGTTCTCAGTCCACACACACGCACCACACCACATACTTTCTTGTGAACGTGGACTTAATGGACCTAAGTATTCTAAGTGTCACTACTCACATTTTTTACTCTGCTTTTCCACTTCTGCCTTCAGTCTCTTGTACTTGTCTGTTCTGTAAACCAGGACCCAGGTAATGCCTAAAACATTAAAAACCACATGCTAATAAATGATTTAACTGGTAACAGCAAACTGTTACTAGTGGTTACTGCTGGAGTAGGAGCGATTTCAATATATGTTAACTTTTTAAAAAAATAAATACAACCGACTCTTCAGTCAAAACAACTGCAACATGACGTGAAAGTGTTCACAAATATGCCAGTGAAATCTACCTTAGACTAAAGAAAATTGGGCAATCGATTCCTCACTACCCTCCCGCTCCAGTTTACAAGGTGTTGCCCAAGGATCTCCTGGGGAAGACGAGCTCTCCCCTGAACAACTAAGGCTCTCGACTTTCCCCCGTGGCGCGAGGGACCCCGAATTCCTTCCTGAGACTGATCAAAGGTCCGAGAAACAGCCATCCTCACCCTCCGCCAGGAGAGCCGTGCACACGGAGATAAAAACGATGAGGAGAGTGTCTGCAAACATGGTGCTCATCTCGCACCTCCGTCCCCGCACTCCCACCCGCCAAGAGGGAAGTGCTCAAGAGTCAGGAAAAGATAAGTGTAAACGACTTCCTCCAGGATCCCGCGACCACTGAGTAACACACCGACTTTGACTGACAGGAGATCGCACTTCCGCTTCCGGGACACGACACCGGAAGGGCACGGCCGGGAGAGCCGCTCGACCCCGCCGGATCTGGGGAGACCAACCCGCAAGTCTCGCGGGCTGAAAGGCTGGCGCGCCGGCCGAATCTCGCGATAGTTGGACGCAGGCGCGGCGGCAGTCTTTCCCTCCTGTGGTGTTTATTGAAACGCTGACGGTCCTTAACTTTTTCTGAGCCAGGGTCCTGTTTTTTGACTCGGGCTTCAACAACAGGACTACATCTGTGCCCGTGGTATTAGATACCTTGGCCTAGTGTCGCGGTATAGTAGACTGGCGAAAATGCATACCGGACCCCCGGGGCTTAGGCGCCAGAACGCGAAGATGAATTAGCCCTGGGCCCCTCTGGTCACCCCGAAAGAGGGCAGCTTGTACCTACGGTGTGTTCAGGACTTTCATAGAGCTATGTACAGGATGTTGCAGTGACACGGTCGACGGGATGTGGAAAGAATTGAAGCTGTGATTGGGCAGTGCTGTTGGACAAAGCGAAGGACTTTTAGTCAAGGTGGGAAGGCACGGATGCCTGGAAATACGTGATGTGTAAAAGCAGCGAGAGCTGTGTCCAGAGAATGGGTCACAAACCCAAACGTCTTCTGTAGGGGGAGAATATGGATTATATCATCTGGGCCTGAGAGGCTGGTGGCAGGAACCGGGCGAGGTGGCCCACGCCTGTGATCCCAGCACCCAGGAGGCTGAGTCAGGAAGGGGCCAGCCTGCTTGGACTGCATTGAGAACCAGCCTCAAAAGAATGTCTCAGCAGCCTTATTTCTTGTTGTTTTGTTTTGTTTTTGAGATAGGGTCTAGCTGTATAGCTCAGGCTGGCCTTGAACTCATTATGAAGCTCCAAGCTGGCCTTGAACTCCCAGCGGTCCTCCTGCCTCAGCCTCCCCAGTGCAGAGATCACAGGCATGTGTCACCTAGGTTATCAGCCTGTGTAGAGCTTTCAGTTTTTTTCAAAGTGTGTGTGTAGTGGATGAAAACATTGAAACTGGCTGAGTTGTCTCCCCTTGTACTTTGAATCAACTGGCTCCTGAAAGAAGGGAATGGAAACAGCTTTTGTAAACGAGAGGAAGAGAGATTGAGGGGAGGAGAAGGGAATGCAGGAGGGGGAAGCAAGATATATCAGGTAGAAGTACAAATTCCCTATGATAAATTTATGTACACCTAAAATGTATGAATAAAATTTAAAAATTAACTCCTTTATATTTCAATTATAACAGATATTAAGCTTCTCTTACTAGTAGCAGTAGTGAGCATTGTAGGGTCCAAAAGATGATTGAGATAACTGTTCTTTACTTCCAATATTCCCCAGGGAACTTACACATCGTAATGAGGTATTATAAAGATGTTCTTTAAAATCTTGCTGGAGCCCTGGATTTAGTTCAGCGGCTCCACCCCCCTGCCTCACAAGCGCAAGGACCCAAATTGATCCCTGGTACTAAAAAAAAAATCTTGATGGGTGTGGTTGGGCACACCTGTAATCTCAGCACACAGCAGGCTGAAGCGGGAGGGTCACTGTGACATTCACTATAGAACCAGAGTGCTAGGATAATACTTTGCTAGCACAATGATGTCGTGACATATTTGTTGAAGAGCAATTCTGGAAGCAAGTTCACATGACATCTTTTGCTGGGTACAGTGTTGCATGCCTATACAAGACCCTGTGTCAGAATACAGTTACAGGGGCTAGAGATGCAGATCAGGTAGAGCACCCTAGACTGTGCAAGGCCCTGGGTTCTGGGTTCTGCTTCAGTCCCTATCAATGCCAAGAAGAGGGTGGGGGCAGGAATGTAGTTCAGTGTTAGAGCACTTTCCTGGTACATGTGAGGTCTTAAATTCAATCCTCAGTACTGCAAAATTGTAATGTCAGTGTGTTTTCTACTTTCTACCAGGTCTCCATCATACTGTCAATTTCTCACAATTCTCAGTATTAATCTCCAATTTTTAGATTTTAAATTTTTCCTCGTGAAAACCACTCTTCCAAAGCTCACTGCTTCGCTCTGATCTTTAGACTACAGCAAAGCTTTTATTCTTAGGGCCTCCTTTGACTGTTCTTTTGGGTGGGATTCTCTGTACTGGGGCCCACATCTGCCTTAGTTTGTTTCCTTCTTACTGTGGTACATCCTCAAGTAACTTATTGTGAAAGTTGTGTGTGAGTGGGCCAGGGATGTAGCTCAGTGGCACCGCACCTGCCTGGCAAGCGCAAGGTCCTGAGTTCAATCCCTGGTACTGCAAAGAATAAAGAAAGTTGTATATGAGCTAAACCTTCTGTGTTCTTACATTATTAGTAGAATTAATAATGTTTTTTAAACAAACAGTCCTAGGCTAGACATTGTAAAAGATTATAAAAGAATTATAAACTTCTGTTTATAATCGGGTATGAAACAATGTGCAAATTAGGTTGCAATCCTAGCCCCACTATGTGCAAGTTATGTGACTTCTTGCAAGTTATTAATTTATCTGAGCCTCATTTAAAAAAAAAATCTGTAAGTAGTGCTAAAAATATCAACGCTCCAGAATCACTTTGAGGTTTATGTAGAGTGACGTGCAAGGTTCTGCAATCAAACTATTTGTTCTCAAATCTGGCTACAGTGATGAAGTAGACACACAATTTTAGGCAGATTTTCTCACCATACTGTCTTGGTTTACTTGAAGGTAAACTGGCATAATAATACCAGTATCTTAAGTCCAAAGGGTTTTTTTAAGGATATAGGAATAAAAGCTGGGCATGCTAGTGCATGCCTGTAATCCCAGCATTCTGGAAGCCTGAGGCAGAAACACTGCAAGTTTGAGCCAAGCCTAGACACTTTAGCAACTTAGTGACTCGTTTGCAAATTAAAAAGTCTAGGGATAGAGCTCAGTGGGAAGACCCAGGGTTCCATCCTCAGCACCCAAAAAAAATAAAAAGTGTAGAAAAATACAGGGTCTATGTTAAGGTTACAGTACGTTAACTGTTGTTACTGGTCTACTAAACCATACTAAACTGTTTTTCTTCTCTCAGTAAGCACCACTGTCTTCTAGTTTTTCAAGCCTGAAATAAGAGCACTGTACTCAAAATCCCTCTTTATGCCACATATCTAAATACCAATGATAAAATCTTCCCTCTCATTTTTTTCCACGTCTTTCAATCCCTTGTATTACTCTTAATTCAGATCACCATTGTCTATTTCTACTTCAGCTTTCTGCATAGTCTCCAGTTTTATACCCAGTTCTGTCCTCTGCAAGTGATTTTCTCATGTAGAAAATAGAGATTTTTGTGAAACACAAAGATAACTATATAGAGAGTTGAACGGAAGCACCCAGATGTTTTTATTTAATTTTTAAGTTTTGAGATAGGTGCTATTTAAGTTGCCCAGGTTGGCCTTAAATTTATGATCCTTGTACCTCAGCTTCCCATAGTGCAGGGATCACAGGTGAGTACCACCACACCACCTGGTTTTTTTTTGTGCTGAACCAAAGAAAACAAGGCATCAAGTTTTCAGGAGTTGCTGATTTCCTTTTTCCTACTAAGCTAGCAGGACTAACCATAGACCCTCGGAAATTGTATTGCCTCAGAAACCTGAGCACTGGGAATATTGAGATCTTTTCCCAAATATAATTTTAAAAATTTTTAAAATTAGTTTATTTTTGAAATATCTTTTTCTACTGATTTTTTTCTGAGAGTCTTGTGTGTGTGCATCCTAAGTGCATGTTTGATTTGTCTATGTCCTGCACAGATTGAGTTGAGAAGGAGAACGTGATAGGTAGGACGTGGGAGCTGATGGAAAGCAGAAACCACTAAGAAGAGGACGTGTACAATAGGAACATGGTTGACAGGTCAGGTGAATCCAGAGTGTAACCAAGAAGTCCATGGTTGAATACCAGGAGATCCATAAATCTTAATTCTAAATGGTAGGCATTGTATGTGCCTGTTTTCCTTATTTGAGTATTCACTGGTTCATCTAACTCACAAAGGAGCCAGGTGTGGTGACGCTTTCCCCGAGTATCAGCACAAGGGGAAGCTGAGGCAGAAGAATTGTGAGTTTGAGGCCAGCCTGCGCTACATAGTGAGTTCCAAGCCAGCCTTCTACACTGCACAGCAAGACCCTGACTCAAAAAATGGCAAAGGATTTTTAAACAAGCCATTTGTGTTGTATATTATCAGAAAACAACAAGCTTAAGCTTGATTTCTGTAGCTAGTTAGTCTTCAGAAATGTTCCACTGTAGCACTTGAGAGGAAGAGAGGGAATGAGAACGTAAGATCTGGAGAGGGCCTGAAGCTTGTGTTTATCCCACCAACATCCGCAAATCTTGCATTAAGGGACTTAATGTTATCAGCCTCATTCACGATCGAGGAACAGAACTCAGAACCAATCCGTTCCATTAGAAAAACACTAAAAAGGAGGCTTTCGAGTTGGAAAGGAAGAGGTAAAATTATTTTTTCAGACAGAGTGGTCTTATACATAGAAAACCCTGAAGGTTCCACACCCCCTCCCAAAGCAAAATTCAAAACACAAGCCTGGCACGGCGGAAGATCTCTGTAAGGAAATGTAGTAGCTGTCCATGACTGTTGATTCATTCCCCAGGAGTGAAAAATAAAAACCCAACAAAGTTAGTGGCTACAAACCAACACAAAAATTAGTTGTGTATTCTCGGAAATATCTAGAAAAAAGTAACTTTATTACCAAGTGATTAAAAAAAAAAGAATAAAGTGGGTCAAACCATGAACCAACTTTTTGTTTGAAATTATGTGATATAAGTTAAATGTATTCTCTTAACCAATATGAGTATGTTTCTGTAAGCACAGTTATATTGAAATAAAGTTTTAAATACCAAGAAATGGACAAAGTGGGAGGTTGGGCATGGTGGAAGAAAATCGGGCATGTGTGTTGATGACATTTTAAGCATCACAATAGCATCAAAAATAATATAGGAATAAAATTAGCCAATTACCATATAGAG